ATACACTTTTTGTTTGATTATTTATTTGGAAAATATGGAGATAAAGTCCCTTCATTGTCCTTTTGGTACAGTATGATTATTGTAGATTGACTCTGAACTGGTTCTGGTGCCTAAATGTTTTAGTCACCCCTATGAAAACTATCCGTCTACTCCACTGCCTGGGTGGACCCTGTCTCTTTTCCTAAAATCGGCTGGTTATAGTTTAGACAATGGATGAAAAGCTCATTACACTTGCTGCTTTAAAGGGGTCCCACAAGGTTCTGTTCTTGCATCAGTCTCAATTACGGTTCGTAGAAGTGATAATCCAGATTTATAACCACTTTTAAAAATCCGAATTATAATTATTATTATATAACATATTTTATATTCGGAAAAATCCAGTGTATTTAAACATCTGATTTAAGTTATTCTCTTGAGGTCCCCACCAAAGTCTGTATCTGTGTGGTGTCCACAGTGATACATTTTTTAAATTATCAAATTTCAGCAAAGAAAGCATATTTTCTTGAATTGTAACCATGAGCCATAATGGAGGAAATACTTGCTGTTTGCTTTGTTGTTTATTAAACATGTCTGAAATGGTCTTCAACTTTCTCCCTACACATTTACTGAAACTTTAGGATGTCTTTTGCATGTGGACGGTTGATGTAAATTAATACACCTTCCAGCTCATTCTTCTTTGGTCCTCTCTCTGCTCGGTTGCACTGGTAATTTAACACCTTCCTGTCCCCATCCCCATAGGGAGTTCACATGGATATGTTAAGCTTTGGTTAACTAAATCAAAGGCCCTGAAATCCATCAGTGATATATATATATAAAAAGAAATCAGCCCATGTTGATCCTGAAAATCAGTCTGAAGTAGTTGTTTCATAATTAGGGGGCTATAATGATTTATTTTAAGAATGAAGGACTTTTTATACATTTAGGAAAAATTATGTTGATTAATCACTTATCAATAAGTTGTGAAACAGTTTTATCAATAATAGCAGGAAGGCATTTTTCAGGCAGATCTATTTGATTGAAACAAACATCTTAAAGAGACAGCTTTAAAATAAGAATTGTTTAGCGTTCTCCTATTGAAGAAGAGAAAACACGAACTTTTATGATAAATCTTATCAGATATAAGATGGTTGTAATTTAGTTCTGGTTTCTAAGATCTAAAAGTCAAAATCAGAGTTACTGAGCCATTTCTGATTTGTCAGTTTCCAACAGCAAAATGCCATACATAAAACAGAAGAGGTCGTCCTCTTTAAGCTAAATTCGTGATTTTTTTTTCCTGAAATTATGGATTATAACAATGAATGTAAGCAGTCGTACACCTTCCACACAATCCTACTTTTGTTTAGTCAGTCCAAAGGATATTTTCTTAAAAAAAACTTCTTTAAAAAAATGCCATAATTGCTCAATCTCCCTGATATGGATGTTTTAGCCTACCTCATATTGTCAGACATTCATATTTAAGTGACAGTTTTGTTTAATAGCCTCCTTTTTCCACTTAAAATCTCATGCATGAAGCCACTGCAGAGCTAGGAATTCATTTAGTGAATGACTGTTGCACCCCAGGTACACAAAAAAGCACCTGCAATTCCTTGCTCCCATCTGCTGTAGTCTGTGCATATCCCAGCAGGCCCAATGATCTTGTACAGCCAGGTGTTAGCTGTCATTTCATGGTATTATTAAGAACCATTTTGCACAGTTTCTAATCTACAATATGTGTTTTTATAAATCAGCGTCATCTGCACATATACTAATGGCTTTGTTCACATTCTCTACAACAATGCTCATTCATATGAATTAAAACATTTTTTTTTCTTTTACCTTGTGGTTTAACTTTTAGAAATGTTGTTCTTTTTCATTTTATTACATGCTTTGCCACTGACATACCTGATACTTCTATCACATTGTATTCATAGTATCTTTAAAACTACATTCTGTGTGTATTGAGGTTATTTTATCTGACTTACATTCATTTGATGATCAGATACATTTGAGGATAAAAAAAAAAATTCTGAAGCATGAACAGAAAAAATCTTTTCAAGCCTGTATAAAAAACATCTAAATACATAGCTTTGGATAATAACTGCTTAATAAGTTTTAGCAAACATTCACGCAAGGTTCAGGGATAACACTATTAAATTCAATTCAGTTTATTTATACAGCGCCAATTCACAACACATGATCTCTAAAGGCACTTTACAGTTCACCAGATCCTAGTCAAATTTATTTAAAATTTTCTATCTAAGGAAGACTAGTTGATTGCATTGACTCATTGAATCGAATGAAACCCCTCACACTAAGTATGCTTGTAGCGACAGTAGAAAGGAAAAACTCCCTTTTAACAGGAAGAAACCTCCAGCAGAACCAGGCTCAGTGTGAGCGGCCAACTGTCGAGGCCGGCCACTAGTAAGAAATAAGATTTTGTTGGAACATACACTATATTGCCAAAAGTATTTGCTCACCTGCCTTGACTCACATATGAGCTTAAGTGACATCCCGTTCCTAATCCATAGGGTTCAATATGACGTCGGTCCACCCTTTGCAGCTAGAACAGCTTCAACTCTTCTGGGAAGGCTGTCCACAAGGTTTAGGAGTGTGTTTATGGGAATTTTTGACCATTCTTCCAGAAGCGCATTTGTGAGGTCGCACACTGATGTTGGACGAGAAGGCCTGGCTCTCAGTCTCCGCTCTAATTCATCCCAAAGGTGTTCTATCGGGTTGAGGTCAGGACTCTGTGCAGGCCAGTCAAGTTCATCCACACCAGACTCTGTCATCCATGTCTTTATGGACCTTGCTTTGTGCACTGGTGCACAGTCATGTTGGAAGAGGAAGGGGCCAGCTCCAAACTGTTCCCACAAAGTTGGGAGCATGGAATTGTCCAAAATGTCTTGGTATGCTGAAGCATTCAGAGTTCCTTTCACTGGAACTAAGGGGCCAAGCCCAGCTCCTGAAAAACAACCCCACACCATAATCCCCCCTCCACCAAACTTTACACTTGGCACAATGCAGTCAGACAAGTACCGTTCTCCTGGCAACCGCCAAACCCAGACCCGTCCATCAGATTGCCAGATGGAGAAGCGCGATTCGTCACTCCAGAGAACGCGTCTCCACTGCTCTAGAGTCCAGTGGCGGCGTGCTTTACACCACCGCATCCGACGCTTTGCATTGCACTTGGTGATGTATGGCTTGGATGCAGCTGCTCGACCATGGAAACCCATTCCATGAAGCTCTCTGCGCACTGTTCTTGAGCTAATCTGAAGGCCACATGAAGTTTGGAGGTCTGTAGTGATTGACTCTGCAGAAAGTTGGCGACCTCTTCGCACTATGCGCTTCAGCATCCGCTGACCCCGCTCCGTCAGTTTACGTGGCCTACCACTTCGTGGCTGAGTTGCTGTCGTTCCCAAACACTTCCATTTTCTTATAATACAGCTGACAGTTGACTGTGGAATATTTAGGAGCGAGGAAATTTCACGACTGGATTTGTTGCACAGGTGGCATCCTATCACAGTTCCACGCTGGAATTCACTGAGCTCCTGAGAGCGACCCATTCTTTCACAAATGTTTGTAAAAACAGTCTGCATGCCTAGGTGCTTGAATTTATACACCTGTGGCCATGGAAGTGATTGGAACACCTGATTCCAATAATTTGGATGGGTGAGCAAATACTTTTGGCAATATAGTGTATATCTGAATCCAGCAAAGACACTCTCTCGCTACTTTGATGAGATGGCTTGAAATGTCTGATAAGTAAAGTTAGGGGTTTAAAGCTGAAAACCAGAACAGCACTAGAATTAATTCAGTGCACAGATGAATGGGCTTGGCCCTCTGTTATTTGCTGTCTGCTGGAAACTGACCACTGCTGCTGCAGATTTGAGCACATCTGAGAGAAGGTACTGTTTAGTTATAGTATCAAGGACCTATAAAGAACTAATGTTTTTGGTAGTTTTTGTGAAGTGTATAGGACAGTTTCTACGAGTTACTTGGAATCAGGAAGTTTGTATTGCATGAAGGATATCTCTTCAAATAAACAGTTCTTTTCCTTCAGATACTACCAAACCTCTCCATTTCACTAACTTTCATTTCCCGTCTCCCTGCTTACTTTTAGCCGGTCACAGATTTCCCCAAGGACACCGGGTCTCCGGCAACCGAGGCATGACCACTTTTCAAGCATTCTTTGTCACTGGTAAGTCAAGAGTTTCAGCTCGAGAGCCACCAGAAAATCACTTTTTTACAAAAAACTGAGGTGATCTGGTTACGCAGTAAGAACGACTCATTGTCCGGCTTCAAAAATCGCAGCTACCAGATGTCACTTGCCAGCAACCTTGAGAGTTCTTGTGCAGGTTAGAAAAAATAAAAGTCAGCCACAGTGATTAGGCGAGCACTGCAACTGCTTTGATTTAAAAGGATAAGTGGGTTCGACAAACAGCTCAGGTTTAGCAGCACCTCAGTGACTATGAGAGCTCTTAGGACTAAAGCTTTCCTCTGGATTTCAACCAACCACTGGTAAATTGAAAATAACGAGCACCGTGTGCCATGTGCCAATTTGTAATTGCTGACAATTTTTTTGGGGTGGAATATTAGCTGCAAGATTAGGATTAATTCTGAGGATGTATTAAAATTATGCTACTTTATACCCATCAGCATGTAAAAGGGCCAATGAACGGAAAAAAAACAAAAACTTCTGGTGTGTCTGTCTTTGACTCCGCTTGGCTTGGCTTTGTCCCACCTTAAGAGCCTGGATAGAAGGAATGCCTCTCGTATCGGGTGACCCATTGGCCCAGCGGCCTCTGCTCCTTGCCCAGATCATGGTGAGGGAGTGCACCAGGCGGGCGCTGTATTCCATGTCACAAAAGCACCTTTCTACACAACAGGGACACAGAAAATGGACCACAGCACAGTGCTTCTTTTTGGGCCTCAGCCCACCATAGTGGGATTAAAGACCTCCCCCTTTTTGCTTCCTACTAAAAAAAAAAAAAAATCTCCCAACTGATGATATGTTCTTTCAGCCAAGCCTGGCAGAGGTAACAGAAGGACCTGGAGCTCCTGGTGCCTCAGACAAAACACCCCCAGAGAGAATAAATGCCTTTAACACTCATACACATCTGGGTAAGTCCCACTGTTTTTTAAAAGGCTTTTTTAAGATTAGCTGTAGAAGTTAATTAATTAGAAGTTAATTAGAAGTTTGACAGGACGCTAAATAAAATTTCATCACGACGATATTAGCTTGAGTTCAACTGACAGGCTAAGCATGTTTATCGTAAAAGGCTGAATAATTACTCAAGACATGTCAAAAAATCAAGCTTGGGTTTTAGACATTTATATTTTTTCAGGGAATATTAAAGCAGTTTTGATCAGTCTTTCTCTTGACCTTCTTCAGGACTTTTGTTATTTTTCTTTGGACTATGGTTCTGGTTTGAGCCTTAATCTATTTAGCTTCTCTTTCTGAGCATTAGAAATTCATGTCTGGTGCTGTTGGCTGTTTTTGGTATGTCCCAACGATTCAACAAACAAAATGCAAACAAAGAATAACTACTAGTGATTATGTGTATTAGGGCTGCAACTAACAATTATTTTGCAAATCGATTAATCTGTCGATTAATTTTTCGATTAATTGATTGATAATTGGATATCAAAAGGTACCTTAAAAAAGACTTTTTACGAAATTAAATCAGGTGAAATTAAAATGGTTCCACTTGATGAGTTCTGGATTTAACACCTTGACAGGTGAAAACATTTTTTTATCTTTAGTGCAAAATGTTTATATATTTTTTTTATATATATTTTTTTACAATTTTGATAATAATGCTGCACTAAGTGGGTCGCTCTGTCAGCCAAAGGCATGTTTTTGACTCTCTACTAACTAAATTAGTCAATGATTATTTCAATAATCGATTAATCTGATTAATTGTTTTAGCCCTGATGTGTAAAGCTCTTTGGTTTCGTTCTTCAACTAAGGCTTTTCAATCTGCTTTTGAATTTACATGACTTGACCCCTTTAAGAGATTTAATTATACGTGGTTATACTGCCCACTATGCATGGCTATAAGAGGAACTTGGCTCCTTTTTCAACCTTTCTTGTCAAAAATGTTTTCACTTGTCAAGTTTTGCTCTCACATTTGATCAAATCTAATCCTGTAGAAAAAAATCTGTCAAAGAAATATAAAAAAACAGCCTCCTTCCTTGAATAGCATGTTTGTTTTCTATTACATATTGAAACTTTGCCATGACCAAAAGGGTCCTGTTTCATATCATATTTATATTTTTGGAGAAAGTAACATTATAGATGACTTACGGTACTAATAATTTTGGACACTATCACCAATTCAAAAACTAGGTCATTGATGAACTCACTGCATTTTCTGTATTTTATATTTAGAAAAAGAAAAGGACTGCTGACATAAATTTACTACAACAGATGTGACGCCTGTTTTGAGGCTTTGGATTCTTTCTAATACATTCCCAGATTCCTGTGAACAATGAGGATTATCACCTGCCAGTGGACTCTTGTGGCTATCGTAGCTTCACTCTCTGTGGTGTTATGCACTAAGGTCAAAACTACAGCCAAACCAAAGTACCTGTATACAAAGAAGCCCGTCCCACAAGTAACACCACAAATCCCGGTCACCACCAGTGTGCCCAAGACTCTTAAAATAGTGGTGACTCCAAAGCCTGCGCAGCCTCAGCCACAGCCTCCGCCGCAGCCCACTGCATTGAGGACCACCTACTTGGACCACAACCTTCCACAGCACTATGGTGAAAACACTGAGCCCCCAGGTGTCGGCCCAGACAATTACACCCTGGACTACAATGAGTGTTACTTCAACTTTTGTGAGTGCTGTCCACCTGACAGGGGACCCAGGGGGCCAAAGGGAGAAAGAGGCTCAGCAGGTATCAAACTAAATGATGTGTTAAATGTTATTTTATTACAATAATAACCATTGTGAGTGTAGCTTCATTTAATCATTTGTATTAACTTAGGACCCCCAGGTGATATAGGACCTGCAGGACCGCAGGGTATACCTGGACCTCCTGGAATGAGTGGTCCAATGGGCTTTAAAGGAGAGAAAGGTAAATACACTCAGGTCCTTATTGTTAAAGCATCATGTCTAGAAATGTTCAGATAAGCAGCACCTTTACAGTGAAAACAACAACAAGTAGACAATAAAAAAAATGATAGGTACAACAAGAATGATAAAAATGATATTGATAAATATAATAGAAAACCTGAATATACATGTATTATTAAAATATACATTTAGTAAATGTAACCTGAATATTTTCCAGCCCTTCTGATTAAATATTTTGTAGAAATGCCTTCCTCTGCAGTTACATCTGCAAGTACTTAGGGCTATGTTAGCTTCACATATAGAGATACTGAAATTTATCCTTTGTAAAATAGCTAAAGATAAAAGTTTTTTAATTGGAATATATTCTAGGCTTTGACTTACCTGTTCCAAAAAAAATGAATCAAGAATCCATAATGTCATTAGGAGATCATAAATACATGTTGTTGAGACAAGAAATATATTGAGTGCAAACCCTTGGAAATAAAGGGAAAAAAATGCTTTAATCTACACCATTCTATGGTATTTTTACTTTTGCTGTCCTGCTAGAAGGGCAACATTATAAAAATAAGTAATTTACAGGCTTTAAAATATTTCCTTTGAGTACAGAACCTAATTTCAATCTTTAAAGGGGTCATAGAATGATTTTAAAGGGTATTTGATGCTGGTCCTTAAGGTCTCTGAATATGGTGTGTAACACTGGTTGGGCTGAGAATGGCATATTTGCTGTTCTACCAGCCCTAAAGCAAGCCTGGTTATAAGCCCTAGAATAAAACAACAGTTTTTTTTTTCTTTTACGGTATGCTCATGGATATTTAGATGAGCTGTGCACTGATTGGCTGGTTTACAATGAGTGAAACTGCTGAGCAAAGACGCATCGTAGCAACAAGCACTAGGATGACCAGACGTCCTCTTTTCCCCGGACATGTCCTACTTTTCATACCTAAAAAACTGTCTGGGGAAAATTTCAAAATCCGCGATTTTGGTCGTCTACAGTGCAGCAGAACTGAGCTGTGAGCTCTGAGGCTGGTCCGGGAACTCCGTCGGACGGGGAGAGGGAGTCAGCCTGGGACGGAGCGACTGAACTTGAAGCCCTGGAGTGATGCCTCGGTTCGAATGCTCAGTCCAGTCCAGTCAGTGGCCTAGCAGCGGTCTGGCTCATTTTCAATAGAGAAACTGCCTGCTTTGTAATTCTTGTAGAAGTAAACACAACTCTAGGCTTAACAGCTAAACTGGTGTCTTACATCTACCTCTATTCATGTTCTTGGGCCGTGAACCAGTGGGCTGGTCTGTATGTCAATTTCGAGGCTTGACAAAAGTATAGGCCAGAACCAAATAAAGTGGTTTTGCATTCTATGACCCCTTTAAAGAGTTTTTAAACCACCTCTGGAAGAAAGTCCAAAAAACTGCAAAACAGCCACACAACACAAAATTTCTTTAAATCAAGACCCACCTTTTTAGAGCTGCCTAGCAGTCTGCAAACAAATCCAGGTTACAAGCCCCTGAAACAAAATATGCTTTTACACATTGACCTCTCCCTATGATTATCATGTTTATCGGGTTGATGATTTTTGTGATTTATGTGTTATGATTCAATGTTTCAATGATTTTTATGTACTTTGTTGTTGTTTCTATTGGTTCTACTTCACATTTGTTTGGATGTTTTTATGATGTTAAGCAGCTTGAATTGTCTTGCCACTGAAATGTGCAAAACTAATACAGTTTTACTCACTTACTATTTACTATAGTGAACCATATTTAACCAATTTACTATAGTTAATTTCCTGCAAAAAGTTTCAGAACACAGTAGGTGGGAAGCATATGATTTAGAGAGGGTGAAGCTGGGTGTTTTTGCACAAAAATGAATAATCATACTGAATTTGCAGAAGATATAATAAGAAGAGCTAAAGGAGGCTGAGTACAGAACTTTGAGGAACACCACTAATAAATGGAAATTATTTTAATTAAGGGTTTTCATCTGAAAATATGTGTCGCTAAAGAATACTTAGAAAAGGGTTGACATTGGAGACATCAAGAAAGGCTATTGACTGTCTTTCAACATTTTTAAATCTTTTTAAAGGGCATTGCAGAGTTTTCTCATGATACTGCCACCTGTGGCCAAAACAAAGAACTACAGCACTCTTATGCTCATTCTTGTAGCTTTTTGTCTTGTTTTTTTCACCTTACTTAGGGTTGCCATTGGTTTCTGGGTTGAACAGGATGCCAGTTTCTTCTGAGCATCAACAAAATCCATCCTGAATATAATGCTTCAATTGTTTGCTAGGTCGGACCAAAATAATATCGACGTCCCATCCGTCAAACAGCACTAGAGCTTCCAACCTGTTGTAAAATAAGTAGAAGATAGAAAAAAAATTGATAGAAAAGTCACATTATTGTCCCACAATGGGGATATTGGATACAGGCTTGAACGACTGAGGTGTCAGTCTACTCATCAAAGGATACTTTAGTAGAAAAGTCTCAAATAAAAAGACTATTTTAAAGATATTTTTTAAGTAAAAAATTACATAATGGCTTTTTAAAAGATAAACCCTTATCTTACGTTTTCAAATGAATCTTTTAGGGGATCAAGGTGAGAAAGGACACAGTGGAGCATCAGGGCCACCAGGTATTTCAGGAAAATCTGGACAAAAAGGTATAAAGTTGTTTAGGTGGTTGTTAAATTATTTTAAACTGTTGCATCCAAATTATTCTGATACCAGTTTCTACCCCTTTAGGTGAGGCTGGTCTTAAAGGTGAAAAGGGTGAAGCAGGATTACAAGGTGCCAAAGGTATACAAGGAGAAAAAGGAGAACCTGGCCAAAATGGAACTGGCGGTGAGAAAGGAGAACCAGGACCAGAAGGGCCTGTTGGACCTCCTGGCATAGCTATGGGGCAGGGTCCTAAAGGAGAGAAGGGGGATAAAGGGGACTGTGGCATATTTGGGGAGAGAGGTCCTAAAGGTGACCGTGGGGAACCTGGTGCTCCAGGCATTCAAGGTGCTATGGGGATTCCAGGATTGCATGGCAAACATGGCACCCCTGGCCCTGTTGGCATCAGAGGAGATCCAGGACACCCTGGCCCTCCAGGTGAACCAGGGGTTCCAGGGCCCCAAGGGCCACAAGGGATACGGGGAATGCCTGGGCCAAAAGGGGATAGAGGGTATCCTGGCATAAGAGGTGAGAGGGGCTTCCGTGGATTAAAAGGAGCAAAAGGTTCAGGAATGCCTCAGAAACGTTCTGCCTTTAGTGTCGGCATCTCTCCAAAGAAATCCTTTCCTCCTTCTGGCTTCCCAATCCGCTTTGACAAAATCTTCTACAATGAAGAAAACCACTTCAACATGAGCTCCAATAGCTTCACATGCGTCCACCCCGGGGTTTATGTCTTTTCCTTTCACATCACGGTACGTAATCAGCCTCTGAGAGCCACACTTGTGGTGAATGGGTCACGGAAAGTCAGGACACGTGACTCTCTATATGGCCAAGATATCGACCAGGCATCAAGTCTAGTGGTGTTAAGACTGGCATATGGAGATCAGGTCTGGATGGAGACGTTCAGAGACTGGAATGGGGTGTACGCCAGCAGTGAGGACGACAGCATCTTCTCTGGGTTCCTGCTCTACTCAGACAAAGCCTAAAACCTATTTGGTTTGCAATGCTGACAATCTGTCTCTTCTGCTTAACTGTTACAACCTCATCACAGCAAATGCTGAGGGTGCTATGCTATACTGTAACTGTGAAATACTTGTCTGTAAATTTGTTGTTTAAATTCTCTCATCAGGATTTGTGAGTAGACCAGTCACTCATAACCTCAAATGACATGTATCACCTTTTCAACCCTTAACAAAAAGGACAATTGTGATGACAGGGAGTCAAATATTTAAGGCATATCATACATACAATTGAGTTTCTTTGATTCTCAAAAAATATTACAAAGAATACAAACAACATATTAAAAAATATACTAGAATCTATAAAATACATCCAACCAACACTAAAAAATTATTTTCAAAAAGATTATTGGGGGACCTTCTATGTCGTTGTACATGTCGACCAGAAAAGTACTAGTTCTCATCAAGGTTTATTACTTCTGGTCAGAAGACACATGCCTCTCTGTCATGCCTTTATATTACAGACATTTTAGGGGTTGCCACTAATGAAACACTTTTTTACAGAACAAAATAATTCTTAATATATAAAGACGAAAACTTTAAATCAGACAAAACATCAGCATATAGATCTGAAAAAATCAAATGTCGTAGTCAAAAACACCTGCAAGAACCCCCCCAATAATTTACAGACTCACAGTATAGCTAAAAAAAATAATTCACTCTGATAGCGTTTCTTTGAGCCAAACTCAAAAAGGCTAGAAAAAACAAAAATTAAGACACAGAAACCTGCATTGAGTAAATGACATAGGTATAGCAAAGTTTAGAAGAGGTGTACCAGTAGAGTAGTCCCCTCCATATATATAGGCTGCATGTCTTTCCTCTTTCTCTCTCTACCAGATTACTGTGAAAAGGGCCTTTAATGCCATTAAACCTTTATATAACGAAAGCCTTACAGAGGAATTAAAAAAGACATACAAATGATCACGAACGTTTATTTTTGCTTTGTTATTGAAGAAACCATGTCCAGTATAACTACACATTGTGAATGTAATCATGACCGTTTTGGACCTTTAAACTTTGTCAGGTTGCATCAACAAATTGCACCTAAACATGTTTTTATGGAATATCTAGACTAAAATAAAGTAGTTTTAAAATGGTGAAACGGAAGGAGTAGGAATCAAGGTTAAGACCTACTTTTTATGTAGTTATTCTGCGTCAATACTCTTAAGACCTGTGCGTCTACAACTTTTTGCATACAGTATTCTCTGAAAAATTTGTGAAGCCATGTCACATTACAAGAAGAGTGTCTGTTAACAGTAAATCTGTAAAACTGCAGCATATCCTTAATTGGATTGGACCTTGACTGGGACGTATTAACACCTGAATGTGTTTTGAATTCAATCATACACATTTGAGCTCTTGTTGCATTTTAAATGTGGTTGCTCTACTTGAAAGTGATACCGTAGGTTATTGTTTTGTCATTTTCTACGCCTGTCTTCATATCAAATGTTGCATTCAGCTTGATATTTCGTATTAGTTTTCTACCATGCATCTTATTTTGGATGTTGCCCCAAAAAGTTCCATTTTGGTTTTATTTCACCAAAGCCTCTCATTTCATAATTATGCATTACTTTTATTGACAAAGCAGTTAAATGAATAAAAGATATCAATATTTTTGCAAGGTAGTATACAGTGACAGATTGTGGGGATCTGTAAAATATTCACTTATCCTAAATGAAGGGCCATTTACTTAATCCTGTAAATTCACTCAACAACTCCCTGCTCTGGTTTTTTAAATATAAAAACCCTTATTTTGTTCCTCTTACCAAACTGTTACATTTTTCTTTATGTTTTTCGCTAGTTTTTATTTGCTTTAACATTCACCTGACATTTGCAGTGTTATAAGTATCTATTTATACCCCTGAACATTTTCAGCACTGTTAAACATTCAGATTTACTCTAAAACTGATAGTAGTACAGTTTTATGATTTTTTTTTCTGTTAATTTAGGAAAAAAAAGTGTACTCTTAATTTCCAAAGATAAATAATTATTTCCACTACTGAAACATCTTTGACAGTACATCATGTATTTCTCTTCAGATTTTTTCATGCTTATGTTACAGTGTGGGGTCCTGTCACCTGTCAATGCAAATGTCATTTGAATTTAGAAAGCTTCTTGGAGGGGAAGCGAAACGTCTTCAAACCTTGGAAACCAAGTCCAGTGGATTGTTTTTAAACTTTTACGGAATGACTATAACCTGGATGACTGAGAATCTTCACTCAGCATGTCTCAAGTACAGAGCAATGAAATTCACTCTCTGCATTTAACCCATCCCCTTGGAGAGCAGCGGGCTGCCCATGTGCAGTGCCCAGGGAGCAGTGTGGGCTTAAGGGTCTTCCTCAGGGACCCAGAGTGGCATCCCATGGGTGTGTCCCAGAACCTCTGGAAGCCAAGCACAGTGCCCCAACCACTAGGCCTCCACTCCCGCTTATTTCTGACAATTCAAACATGTTCATATGCACATTTCTTTACATCGTCTGGCTTTGTACCAATGCCCAATAGCGTAAATATCGGTAAGAGGAGACAGCAGTTGCTTACAGGCTCACAACCTCTTAGGGGCCCCATTGCTGACACCTGGTTGGCCACCTATGCAACTGTAGACCAGGACGTCTCTTTGAAAATGTAATGAAGCAAAAAATGTCTCTTAAACCCACCTGATACTGAAGTGACTGACCACACCAGACCGTATTTATACCACAACACATGCCACATTTCAACATGAGGTGAGCCATTTAAACACAAGACCAATAGCAAAGCATACAGTGGTACTTTTAATTACCATGTTAATAACTGCATATAGTTCATTAGACGGTTGGTAAAAAATACGCTCATATAATATGTTTCAAACCGAAATTAAGATCTTAAAAGTACAATGTATAAGAATATTTCATTTTTTACACTACGGCTTGGAATTATGGGTAACCCAGAGTGGAGATTAAAACCATAACAGTTACGTACAATGTGTGAGCAACAATGGATACCCAAAAAAAGGAACTTAAATGGATTCCAGAAAAGAAAAAGGAAAGAAGAGCTGCCTGGAGAATGGAAAAAACTTCCCAAAATAAACACGTTCTTTCAAAGAACCGAGGAGGGAGAGGTGGATGTTGCTGCTACAGTGAGTAAAGATGTCGACCAGATGAATGGAGAGAGCATGGGTGAGAAGGGGGCTCAAGGTAGCTTGATGGCTTGTTGTGCTAATATACTAAAGTATATCCATGTCTTCTAAAGGTGAAGAATGATGAACTTTTGAATGAACTACTGAAAATTGCATAATTGTATCTTTTTGGCCGATTTATGGAACTATCACCCTATCCTGAGCCTTTAACACATGTTGTACTTCATATGGGGCTCACCCAGATAATGTTGGTTACGGGCCTATAGTTGTGTCGTTACGTCACTGCCAATGCCTTCCTCTTTGGCCACAATGATAGAAGAAAGTTTTGCCCCTGAATTTCCATCCCTTATTGTTGAATAATATTTAGTATTTGAACTGCATATTCATAAAGCTACTCCTGCAGAAATGGTAGCAATCACCGCTCTGGTGATTCTTGCAAAAGCAAATCCTTTTGTTCTATTAAGATGATAGTTTTTAGCATGCTGACATGTTTGCAAATGTTTTAATACATGAAAGCCTTTTGAAGATGAGGCCTCTACTGTCCTCATTTCTTTTTTTAACTTCTGTTAAAAGAATTATCTTTGTCTTTTCTCAATGAATTAAATATTTTTTTTCAGTGCTGCAGGATTGTAAACAAAATATTAATTGAAAAAGTCAACAGTTCATACAGCTTATAGAAAACTTTATTTGGTTTTGACAGAGATTTTCCTTTAGACTTAGTAAAAATGATGTAAAGAATTATGAGACCTTAAGAGCATAACTATATTATCAGAACAGTGGAATGGTATTAATCAGAGAGAGAAAGCTAAGCTTCAAATTATTGCTCTGTTAGATATGATGGAAACTGGACCAAAGAAGCTGAAATAGGACCGACTTGCAGATATGTCAAAGGACATTCTAAAAGAAATCCCTCATAACACACCTTAGGGTTCTGGAGTGTTGGTTTGTCCTGGAAACTGGTCTGGAGGTGGCCGACTAGTTAAGACCGGTAACTCCAGATGCAACTCTGTGTCCAGATCAAAAGACAGAGTTGGATCCAAATGCTTTGGTGTTGTTGGTTGAGTTGGAGGATTCGAGGAGAAGTGTGGGTGTGACACAGAAGGAGATGATGACATTTGGTTTCTGTGATGATGATGATGACCATTTGGAAAACTAATTTCTAGTCCTGTTGAGTCAAAGACAGAGAGACCTTAGAGGTCTGGCATGACTTTGATGGAATTTTAACAAATCAAACTTTAATCAGCCAGTGTTAGCACAAACCGTAAAGCAGATTTACTATTAAGCAGATATACTATTTACTATTACCTGTAACCTCTCCAAAGCTTTTGGGCTCACTCCACCTCATGATATCCAGCTTTGGCACCTTGGCTCTGCAGCTGTACCATCCTGGTGCCCGTGTGACATAGATGTGGTTTTGTGATTTCGCCGGTCCCAGCAGATGGTTGTTCTTGTAAAAATAGTAGTTAACTGGAGGGGCAGGTGCATGGGCGTTGTACTGGGTGTGGCAGATCAGCTTAATTTTATTTCCTGTGGGCTGTAAGTTTTTGTCATCAATCTCCAACACCGGCAGGGTTAGAACCTCTGAAAAAGATGAAAGGAAGAAAAAAGTTACTTTCTAATTTTATTTTGCTTATAGCATATTTTACCTGATATGAGCCGGATTCTGTTGCAATACTTTAAGAAGGGCTTGATCACTAGTTACCCTGCCTTTCTAATATATGTTTCAGTATCTCTTATTTAGACTCTTTTTGCTTTTTCACTAATTTTCAGTCCAATTTCTATGTCTGTGATATTGGCTGAAAAATGTTTCACACAGATGATTATGACCTTAAAATATTCAAAAGTATTTCCTTAACATCCAAATAACTTAAATAAGATTTTTCAGTCAATCAGTACTACAGGTGTATAAAAATGAAGCCCCTGGACATTTTGACTGTTTTTACTAACATTTGGGAAGGGAAGGGTGACTCTCAAGAGTTTGATAAAGTCTAGCAAGAAAA